TAAATCAAAAATTGAATAATTTTTGTCTTTTTCAAGTGTTTTAGCAAATTTTTCTGCTGGAAGTTGGTGAAATTACTAGAATTTCAAAATTACTGAAATTTAGGTGAAATTTTTTTCAACATTTTTATCTGGAAACTTAAGTAAGTATTTTGCATAATTTCTTTAAAATCAAGCCAAAAATTTACAAAATTAGAAAAATTATGTTATTTTAGCCTTTTCGAGTGATTAAGTTTTTGAGATAATTTTTTTTTCTCTAAAATTGTTTGAAAAATTAACAAATTAGATCGACATTGATATAATTTTTGCTTATTTCGATCAATTTAGTTTTTATTTTGAATCAAAAACTGTTTTATTTTGAAAGATTTTGTCAAAACACATTTTGTTTATTTCACTCGTAACTGATTTTTAAGTAAAGTAAAAAACACACAAAATTTGGTCGAGAATAGTATTATTTTTACTTTTTTCAAACTTCCAAGCATGTTTTTCAAATAAAATGGCAGGTTTTTTGCATGATTTCTAAAAATTCAAAAATTATATAACGTATTTTTTTTCGAATATTTTAGCACATTTTTCAGGCAGAAACGCATAATTTTGGTAAAAACAAGCAAAAAAATCTACCAAATTAGCTTAAAAATTGACTTTTTCAAGTAAATAAGCATGTTTTTAAAATAAAATTTTCTTTACAATTAACTAAAAAAACTAAACCAAATAAGTAAATAAATCCCAAGTTTTTTTGCAAAAATTCTCAGAAACAAACCAGCACATTGAATCAAAAATTAAATAATTTTTGTCTTTTTCAATTTTCTAGCAAATTTTTTAACTGGAAGTTGTTGAAATTATTAGAATTTCAATGAAATTTTTTTAATTTACTGAAATTTAGACGATTTTTTTTTCAAACATTTTCATCTGAAAACTTAAGTATTTTGCATAATTTCGTTAAAATCAAGCCAAAAATTTACCAAATTAAACCAATAGTGTTATTTTAGCCTTTTACGAGTGATTAAGTTTTNAAAATTCTCAAAACCAAACCAAGAAACCAGCACCTTGAATCAAAAATTGAATAATTTTTGTCTTTTTCAAGTGTTTTAGCAAATTTTTCTGCTGGAAGTTGTTAAAAATACTAGAATTTGAAAATTGCTGAAATTTAGGTAAAATTTTAATCTGAAAACTTAAGTATTTTGCATAATTTCGTTAAAAACAAGCCAAAAATTTACCAAATTAGACCAATGATGTTATTTTAGCCTTTTTCGAGTGATTAAGTTTGTGAGATAAAAACATTTTTTTAATTTCTCTAAAATTGGCTCAAAAATTGCTAAGTTAAATAGACATTGATATTATTTTAGGTAGTTCCGTTCGATTTACTTCGTTTTTGAACTAAAAACTCATTTACATTGGAAGTTCTTGTAAAAATCCAAATTGATGTTTCACTCAATTTGAAAAAAAAAATAGTCAAAAATAAGCAGACAAACCATCAAAAATGGTGTTATTTTCACCTTTCTTGACCTTTCAAGCAAGTTTTTAAACTAAAATCTCAGATTTTCTTCAAGTCAAACTAAAAAAACTCACSAAATTAAGTCAAAAATCTTTTTCTTTCGAGTTTTTAGCCAGAAAGAAACAAAATTATGTTKAAAACAAGCCGAAAKACCACATAATTAAGGCTAAAAAACCTTAWTTTTTTTAATCTGGCAAAACTCACAAGAAGGCAAGTCGGCCGGTTGCCTCGCTAGAAGAAAATTGATCCAAAAGCAAACTTGCTGCACTTGAATGGACGGCGAATCTTCCAAACTAAACAAAACCAAAGTGAGAGAATGAGACGAAGGCCATAGAAAATGGTGATAGATGGGAAAATAGTTTTCTTGACCTGAGAATTCCCAAACTGTCGTTTCGCCAACATTTGATATATCCAAATTTTGCACATGAATGCCATTGGTGGACTGGTAATTGCCACTGCTTTCAAAACTGAGCGAATTTTGGCGCGAAGTGACATCCATTTCGATCTGGGTGTTGATGGGCGACGATGGGCGGGCTAAAATTTTTCCCAAATGAGAAGGAAACCATGGGCGCCGACTTTTCATATTTTCAATGGGTGCATAAACAAAAAACTTGATAAATTGATCGTCTTTAAAGTAAAAAACAATTTCTTCTTCTCTAGTTTTGCTGAATATTTCATATTTAGAACATTTAAAAAATATATAATTTTTCATATAGTACAAAAGCAAAAATCAATAAATAACAGTAAAAAATACAAAATGCAAAACAAGAATTAATTT